GGTAGCTAGCTAGCCAGGTATCTAGCTAGCCATGTAGCTAGCTAGCTAGCGAGGTATCTAGCTAGCCAGGTAGCTGGCTTGCTAGGTAGCTAGCTAGGTAGCGAGCTAGCTAGCTAGCCACTCTCGCCCATAGTTAGCTGGCTAGCTAGCTAGCTAGCTATTCGTTGCTTAGCTAGCTAGCCAGCGGCACAGGAGACAGGCTCACCTGCAGCGTCCCCGCCACTGCCGGTGTCTCCTCTGCTGGCTTGAAGGCCCCAAGCAGAGACCCTCACTGCTCCCTGGGGTAAACCCTAAACCCTAAACCCTAAACCCTAAACCCTAAACCCTTTCTTTTTGAGGAGACACTAGAGGAGACACCGACGAACACACTACTGCAGCTAGCCAAGTGTTTACTGCGTATCGTTCTATCCTATTATATTCACCCTAAACTAAACCCCAGCTAGCTGGCTAGCTAGCCATAGCTAGCTCAACAAAAAATAAAATAAATGTAAGAACCTAGACAACTGCGTTTTCTATCGCGCCATCTCTAGCTGGCTAGCTGCAGCTAGCACGCCACAGCTAGCTAGCTAGCTAAACCTAGCTAGATACGACTGGCTAGCTACAGCTAGCTGCCACCACTGCCCGAAGCACTTAGCCCCCTTCATGCTCCCCTTAGAGAGAAAGTCAAGAAAGCAGCTCAGGCGGCTGCAGCTGTCAAACTGTGCTCGGCAGCTAGCTAGCTGGTAGCTAGCTAGCTAGCTAGTAGCTAGCTAGCTAACAGCTAGCTACAGCGGCCTATTCAGGCGGGATTGCTGCATTGGCTGCTGCACTTGGCCTCTGAGTTAGCCATTCTACAGCTAGCTACCTAGCTAGCTAGCTAGCTAGATCAAGAGGCGGCCGGCGAGCTAGCTAGCTGTATAGCTAGCTCGGCAACGGCGCCTGCTGCTGGGTGTTTGGGGGGCAGCAGCAGGAGCAGCAGCAGGACGAGCAGCTAGGTGTTTATGTTTCTAGCTGCGTATATATATATATATATATATATATATATATATATATATATATATATATATATATATATATATA